CGCTCTGCCCATCTTGGACAGGCAGATCATACTTGCGATCATCGCAAGCCCGCCCTGCTGAAGGGCGGGCTTCCGATAACTGCAAAGCTGAACGGGCATCGGCATTTGTCTTACGAGCAGGCCACAAACCCGCCGAAAATCGTATGATTCTTGGCGGGTTTTCAAACATGCTCGTAAGACTACGACTGTACAGTAGAAACGGTCGCACGCCGTCCATAACCTGCTGATTATCGTACGATCGCGGGATTTCCCGCGATTATCGTACGATAATCGGCAGGTGCATGGGCACCTTTATGGCGATAAATAGCGCTATGCAAAGATCTTATCGAGGGATGATTCCAAGAGCTTTGCATAGGATTTGCATTCCATTCTAGGTTTTAAATATTTAAAATTCATCCATGTATGATTTTATGTTAGAAGCTGCAATTAGCAACATTTTTTATCTGAATTGAGGATCCTTTCCCTCTATGGGTCAGTCACATGTGGAATAATATGGGATTTGTGAGGATTCCCTTTCTTTTGGACATAACATGGCAGACTATGTCTGATCCAGAAAAAAAGTCCACTTGAAGCAAATAGAATGGCTGCCTTTCTTCTCTTTTAGATGTGCAGATAGATGGTGTGCACAGATACAAAGGGGGAATTAAGCAAAGGAAATGCATCAGTTTAGCAGTGTATATATTGGCGCAGTGAAAATATTGCACCAAATTAACAATGGTTTTTTAAAAATGGTGAAGTATGGTGTTGCACCAGCTGCACCAAGTCACATTAAAAGTGCAATGGCTATATAATACTTTCTATAAATGTCTGATCTTGTGTGCCAAAATAATCAGGCATTTGCGCCAATGTTCTAACTTAAAACCACTTCTAACAGTTACTGAAGTGGTGTAAATACTGCAATGAGGAAGGGCAACAGTGACGATCAGCAAAGAAAACAGAAGAAGCGCTACGACCAGAAGAGGTGTTAATGGCAATGGACAGGACAAATATGGCTGGAACTGACAGCAATGCAGCAAGGAGAGGAGAGAGGGATGCATATGGATGGCCAGTGAGTTCCAGTAGTGTGGGAAGGAGAGGAGAGGGAGATGTGTATGGATGGCCAGTGAGGTGCAGAGAGGAGATGTGTATGGATGGCCAGTGAGCTGCAGGAAGGGGAGGTGGGATGTGTATAGGTGGCCAGTGAGGTGCAGGAAGGAGAAGAGAGGGGGGATGTGTATGGACAGCCTGCAAGGTAGGAAGGAGAGGAGGGGATGTGTATGGATGGCCAACGAGGTGCAGAAATGCAGGAAAGAATGGAGAGGGGGGATGTGTATGGATTGCCAGCAAGGGGCATCAATGCAAAAAGGAGAGGAGAGGGGTGATGTGTATAGATGCACGCCATGTGCAGCAATACTAGAAAGGGTGAAGAGTGGAACATGTATGGACAGCCAGTGATGTGCAGTAGTGCAGGAAGGAAAACATTTAGGTCCCAAGTTTACCTCAAAATTTTGGCACACGCTCGTAGTAAGTGTACTCAAATCTGCTGCCCCACCACGCAGCAAATTACTGATTTTGTGTGTCATGTTTGTACTTTATAGCAGAAAGCGCTAATTAAGAATGGTGTATAGAAACTGGCTTATTTTTCGGCATGTGCCAGTCTTTGCTAAATAATTAAAGACGCACTCCCAGGAAAGGAGTTAAAAAGATAATTGATTCTATTTGATACGTTCAGTAGCTCTTTATCCAGTAGGCTAGGCTTCTTTAATAGTTTTAGTTTGATCCCTCTCAACACTTCACTTTTAATGTCAGCAAAGTACTTAAACTGCAGGATTTATAGTCAGACAGAAAAATAACTCTTTGCAGTGCTTTGCTAAAAGGAATGTTCTCACTTTGCCAGAATTAGCCGAGCTCGGCAGCAGGGAATCCTACAAAATGACCCTTCAAGTTCGATGGTAGATTTCTCTGCACGGAATGGTTGTGTGTGGCTGACATTTTCGTTATCCAGACAGAGTGCGATGAACTGATAACTTGCACTGACTGTTTCTCCTCATTAAAATGATACGCTGACCTTGAGATATAATTCACAGCCATCGTTTTTTTCTGCCTGCCTGATTAATATTGATCAGCATAGCCAAAGACCTGGAGTGGTGTGCAGAGGATGGCCTCAGGAGACCTGTTCTTCTACACCCCAGTAGACAGGACAGACACTGCAGAGTATGTATTTTCCTGCTCTTGTTAAAGGTAAGCTGTAAAGAGTGCGTGCACATTTTTCAGCCAATAGAGTAGACCTAGCCATCGATATAAATAAATAATAAATATCGGAAGCGATGCTTGGTGTGAATACAAATGAAAAAAAAAACAACACACAAAATAAGAAGATGCCCTCAATCGAACTAAAATTAAAAAACTTGAAGCCACTTGAAATGTACCTGTGCAGAAAATTCCTCCTAAAACAAGTGCATCTGTGCAAAAAAATACAAACAAGATGTAATAACCACATATATGTGCTAACAGGTAACACCTGATACCGTGATATATGTGGCTACTTATTAACTGTGAATAATAATGTCCATAACAAAAGTGGGAAACTCTGTGTAAAAACTTCAGGACAACTTCTTCTCCAAATGTTCTTCTTTAACCCTTATGCAGTGCTTCACCCAAGTGGAATGCAGTTCACCAAGTGTTCAATATAACTAAATGTACATTAGTATGGTCTAACAATAGCGATTTGATAAAGCAGGGGGGGATGAAGATGCAGGAGCATGGCACCACACCCCTGATTAGACCACAAGAAACATAAAAACCAACTTGGGTCTTTCAAGGTGCCAAGAACTAAAAAATTACTATATA